ATTAATAAGATTGATAAACCCCTGGCCAGACTTATCAAAAAGAAAGGAGAAAGGACCCAAATAAATAAAATCGTGAATGAAAGAGAGATCACAACCAACACTAAAGAAATACAATTATAAGAACATATTATGAGCAACTATATATATGCCGACAAATTAGATAATCTGGAAGAAATGAATGCATTCCTAAAGATGTATTAACTACCAAAACTGAACCAGGAAGAAATAGAAAACCTGAACAGACCCATAACCAGCAAGGAAACTGAAGCAGTAATTAAAAAAATCTCCCAACAAACAAGAGCCCAGGGCCAGATGGCTTCCCAGGGGAATTCTACCAAACATTTAAAGAAAAATTAATACCTATTCTTCTTCTTATTTTTTTTAATTTTTAGAAGATTTTATTTATTTATTTTTGTGTGAGAGAGAGAAAGAACGAGCATGAGTGGGAGGGAGGGGGCAGAGGGAGAAGCAGACTCCCCACTGAGCAGGGAGCCTGATGCAGGACTTGATCCCAGGCCCCTGGGATCATGACCTGAGCCAAAGGCAGATGCTTAACTGACTGAGCCACCCAGGTGCCCAGTACCTATTCTTCTGAAGCTGTTTCAAAAAATAGAAATGGGGGGAGCCTGGGTGGCTCAGTCATTAAGCGTCTGCCTTCGGCTCAGGTCATGATTCTGGGGTCCTGGGATCGAGTCCCGCATTGGGCTCCCTGCTCGGCAGGAAGCCTGCTTCTCCCTCTCCCACTCCCCTGCTTTTGTTCCCTCTCTTGCTGTGTCTCTCTCTGTCAAATAAGTAAATAAAATCTTAAAAAAAAAAAAAGAAATGGAAGGAAAACTTCCAAACTCTTTCTATGAGGCCAGCATTATCTTGATCCCAAAACCAGACAAAGACCCCACCAAAAAGGAGAATTACAGACCAATATCCCTGATGAACGTAGATGCAAAAATTCTCACCAAAATACTAGCCAATAGGATCCAACAGTACATTAAAAGGATTATTCACCATGACCAAATGGGATTTATTCCTGGGCTGCATGGTCGGTTCAACATCTGCAAATCCATCAATGTGATATACTACGTTAATAAAAGAAATGACAACAACCATATGATCCTCTCAATAGATGCAGAAAAAGCATTTGACAAAGTACAGCATCGTTTTTTGATTAAAACTCTTCACAGTGTAGGGATATATCATAAAAGCCATCTATGAAAAACCCACAGCAAATATCATTCTCAATGGGCAAGAACTGAGAGCTTTTCCCCTAAGGTCAGGAACACGGCAGTGATGTCCACTATCACCACTGCTGTTCAACATGGTACTAGAAGTCCTAGCCTCATCAATCAGACAACAAAAGAAATTAAAGTCATCCAAATCAGCAAAGAAGTCAAACTCTCACTCTTTGCAGATGACATGATACTTTATGTGGAAAAGCCAAAAGACTCCACCCCAAAACTGCTAGAACTCATACAAGAATTCAGTAAAGTGGCAGAATATAAAATCAATGCACAGAAATCAGTTGCATTTCTATACACCAACAATAAGACAGAAGAAAGAGAAATTAAGGAGTTGATCCTATTTACAATTGCACCCAAAACCATAAGATACCTAGGAATAAACCTAACCAAAGAGGCAAAGGATCTGTACTCAGAAAACTATAGAATACTCATGAAAGAAATTGAGGAAGACACAAAGAAATGGAAAAACATTCCATGCTCATGGATGAAATAACAAATATTGTTGAAATGTCTATGCTACCTAGAGTAATCTACACATTCAATGCAACCCCTATCAAAATACCATCAACTTCTTTCACAGAACTGGAACAAATAATCCTAAAATTTGTATGGAACCAGAAAAGACCCCAAATAGCCAAAGGAATGTTGAAAAAGAAAACCAAAACTGGTGGCATCATAATTCCGGACTTCAAGCTCTATTACAACGCTGTAATCATCAAGACAGTATGGTACTGGCATAAAAACAGACACATAGTTCAGTGGAACAGAATAGAGAACCTAGAAATGGATACTCAACTCTATGGTCAACTAATCTTCAACGAAGCAGGGAAGAATATCCAATGGAAAAAAGTCTCTTCAACAAATGGTGTTGGGAAAATTGGACAGCTACATGCAGAAGAATGAAAGTGGACCATTTCCTTACACCTTACACAAAAATACACTCAAAATGGATGAAAGACCTAAATGTGATGGATTCATTAAATGAATCCATCAAAATCCTAGAGGGGAACATAGCAACCTCTTCGACCTCGGCTGCAGCAACTTCTTGCTAGACACATTGCCAAAGGCAAGGGAAACAAAGGCAAAAATGAACTGTTGGGACTTTATCAAGATAAAAAACTTTGCACAGCAAAGGAAACAGTCGACAAAACCAAAAGACAACTGGCAGAATGGGAGAAAATATTTGCAAATGACATATCAGATAAAGGGCTAGTATCCAAAACCTATAAAGAACTTATCAAACTCAACACCCAAAGAACAAATAATCCAATCAAGAAATGGGCAGAAGACATAAACAGACATTTCTCCAAAGAAGACATCCAAATGTCCAACAGACACATGAAAAAGTGTTCAACATCACTTGGTATCAGGGAAATCGAAATCAAAAGCACAATGAGATTCCACCTCACACCAGTCAGAGTGGCTAAAATTAATAAGTCAGAAAACGACAGATATTGGCAAAGATGTGGAGAAAGGGGAACGCTCCTACACTGTTGGTAGGAATGCAAGCCGGTGCAGCCACTCTGGGAAACAGTATGGAGGTTCCTCAAACAAATTGAAAATAGAGCTACCCTATGACCCAGCAATTGCACTACTGGGTATTTACCCCAAAGATAGTGTAATGATCCGAAGGGGCACCTGCCTCCCAAAGTTTATAGCAGCAATGTCCACAATAGCCAAACTATGGAAAGAGCCCAGGTGTACATCAACAGATGAATGGATAAAGAAGATGTGGTATATATATATACAACGGAATATTATGCAGCCATCAAAAAAATGAAATCTTGCCATTTTCAATGACCTGGATGGAACTAGAGGATATTATGTTAAGTGAAATAAGTCAATCAGAGAAAGACAATTATCATATGATCTCACTGATATGTGGAATTTAGGAAACAAGGCAGAGGATCCTAGGGGAAGAGAGGAAAAATGAAACAAGATGAAACCAGAGAGGGAGACAAATCATGAGAGATTCTTAATCATAGGAAACAAACAGGGTTGCTAGAGGGGCTGGGGGTGGAGGGATGGGGTAACTGGGTGATGGACTTTGGGGAGGGTATGTGTTGTAATGAGTACTGGGTATATAAGACTGATGAATCACAGACCTGTACCCCTGAGACAAATAACACATTATATGTTAATTAATTGATTTTAACTTAAAAAATTAAAAAAAATAAAGTGTTACCAGAACAGGAAAAAAAATGAAAAAATAAACTGAACAAAATGAGGTACAAGCTATAAAAACATTATATCACATGTTTCTGACACAGTCATTTACCTTCATGCATTCTCCACAGAAGTATTTTTTAAACTCTAGGTTCTGATCCATAGATGAACCATGAAATCAACGTACACCATCTCTGGAATCTGCACAGCATAGAAGCAGCAGAAAGGAAAGGGTTAATATTTTTGTAATTTCAGATCTCCCTTTTAACGTTTGTTTTAAACTGTCCTATAACGTGTAACCTCTTAATACTAGAAGAAGGTAATATAGAAAATTATATGAAGCTCAGCCTAATTGTGAATAATGCCTGTTTAACCACAATATAGATTCGTTCATTCAATGTATTTTATCATGGTTGTCTTACAGATCTTTTATTTTTATCTTTTTAATATCAACCTTAAAGTGACAGAAAGTCCTTTTTTTTTTTTTAAATGCAAGTGCACCTCTTTAAACTCAACCAATCTGTTTACTCTTTTGGTGATTCTCAGGATGCACCTGTGGCATAAGCACACAACTGCTGTTGCAAATGAGCAAATTAAGACGAGGGTCTTTATTTAGATTTTATACCAAGACCAGTTAAAAGTGGAAGCTGAGGCTTGAAACTGTTAACCCAGTGACATACGGGCCATAAAAAATGGGGGGAAGGGGGAAATCAGAGGTACCAGTGGTGTATTCTATTTGATGGGGGGTGGAGGGGAGTTAAAAACAAACCTGGAAAAAATGAACTTTCTAAATTTCCTCTACACATTTACTACACATTTAGTCCCTGCTAACCATTAAGAACGTCCCAGCCTCGCTGCGTCCGGTGATTTTCCTAAGACAAGTTTTCTGTCTCCCAGATACTGGGAACGGAGAAGTGAAGTTAGTTTATGAAGGTGGAGTTTGGATTCTGACAGCCTGGCTTGGAGGCTAGCACACAGGCCCACCAGTGGTGTGTCATCCAGCAAATTATTTAACTTCTCCAGGCCTCACATTGCTCATCAGGAAAACAGGGATGAATTAGTAGAACCTATCTTTGGCCTCTTTTGATGATTAAACGAGAGTCAGCAAAAACGTTTGGCACATAAATAGTTAACTGACTCTTAAGCTTTTTTTTTTTAACTGAAAAGACGTGGGAGTGTTGAACAGAAAATAATTCTTCTTGTAAAACCCAGATAAACTTTTGAAGAATTTAAATATAAGCAAATGAGGCGGAGAGGAAGGGACAGATCCCTTCCTACAGTAGGATTTCCTGCTACCTCTTCGCTACTGAAAATCATCTTCTTTAACTTCCCCTGCAGGCCCCCGTTTACACTCTCTGGACCCCAGGGGGAGGAATGGGGCGGGGAGTAGTGTGAGAGGCCCGCGGCATTTAGCGCTCTCCTGAGTGGGGGCTGCGGCCCCCGCGGGAGGGATGGGGGCCGGAAGCGCGGATGCGAGCCGGCGCCCGCTGCTCTCCTGCGGTTTGCGGTCGCGAGAGACCGGGCGGGCCCAGCCGCGCCACGGGCTCCGCCTCCAGCGCTCTGGGCACCGCCCCGACTCCTCCTCCGCCAGTCCTCACCGGGGCTCGCTGGCCACCGCGGTCCCAGTTGCGGCCGCCGGAGCCCGAGCCATGCGAGCCGCGGGGTCGGGGGCGCGCCCGGGGCTGGCGCTGCTGCTACTTTTGGCCGGGGCCGGGGCGTTGGCCGCCGCCTTGCCCCCAGCCCCGCCGCTCTTCAACGTGAGCCTGGACGTGGCGCCCGAGCTGCGCTGGCTGCCCGTGCTGAGGCACTTCGACCTCGACTTCTTGCGCACCACGATGGCGCACATCCTCGGGTGAGCGCGGGCGCGCGGGCGCGGGGCCAGGGGCGCGGCGCCAGCGCGCCGGGGCACCGCCTTTGCGGCCTGAGTCCTCGTGCCGGAAGCTCAGATGCGTGCTGCTAGCTGGGCCGTAAACCGAGCCGCTTTACCCCTCCCCGCCCTGGGGGACCGTCTTGCCCTCGACCTCAGCCTCCTCACCCGCGGCTTCAGGAGCATGCGAGCTCGGCGGAGACCAGAGCTGGCATTTGTTGCTGCTCTGGGAAGCCTCGGGCTTGAGGATGATCGGAGCGGCTGGTTTGACTTTCAAGTTCGGTGTCACCAGAGGCACGCCCTTCCCCCAGACATTCTGGGTCAGGGTGGCGTGCAGGTTGTCACCCGCCTGCTCAACGCAGAGTAGGGAACGCAGCCCACACCCCTGTTGCAGGTCTGGCGAGTCTCCCAAGTCCGCCCCTTTGGGGACCACACTCGCTCGCTCTATCTCCCTTTCCGAGTTTTCTTTTTTCCCTTGGGGATGCCGCGGGTTGGGTGATGCCGGGCCTGGGCTATTGGCCCTTTGGGAAGGGGAGGAACCTGGCACCCCTAAGGATAAGAGCTTCAGGAACCACCCCACCACCCATACACACAGAGTCGCACCCCTTCGACCCCTGAGCAGATCAAACACCCTCGTGGTTCTTCGTTTTTAGGAATAAGGTCCCCAAGTGGGTCCACGCATTGATTGGAAAGGTGGTCGAGGAGCTGGCGCGCTTCCTGCCCCAGCCCTTCACCGACGAGATCCGTGGCATGTGCGAAGTCCTGAACTACAGCCTGGCCGACTGCCTGCTGCTCAACCTGGTTTACGAGTCCACCGCGTGAGTGTCCCACGTTACCAGGGTCTCCTGCCGCCACATCTGGCTGGGAGGAGACTTATTTCCAGTGTGATAAAAATAGGGTGGTGCCAGGGCTGCGCTGAAACTTCCAGTGCTTCCTCTTTGCCTCTCTGGGTAAATCTGAGCAGCGCGTCATGAGCTTCGAGAAGGAAAGCAGCTTCTCGGACCTCAACATTGACCTTTTCCTCTCCCCAAGCCCCTCGTTATCCCTCTACCAATTCAGGTAGTATCCCACTTTCCAAACTCAACATGTACCTTAACAGGAAGTTTTTAGAACTAACCCCACTCTCATATGGACTGTCTAGGTAACCCAGTGACCCTGCACCCTTATAATGCAGGGGGTCATCCCAACACTCATTTGTCCCCCTGCATTTATCCCTCCATGTTTGTCATGCCTGGAGATCCTGACTTCTCTTTCAGAGTCTGTACCCTCCAGGACTGGGGTCACAGGGAACATTGTTCTGGCTATAGGGAGAGCCGGTATTTGGTAGACAGGGTGGGCAGGATAAAATGGCACAGAGAAGTGAAAGCCCTTAAGAGTGTGTAGCTGATCCCATGCAAAGTGCAGGGAGAGTCTTAAGTCTTATTGGCTCAGTAGTAGGTCCTGGAAGTAAGAGAGGTTTGACCTGGTTTCTGCCTTCAGGACTTACTGTTTTGCCACCAGACCAGCCTTAGCTAATGACATACTTAGTAGCTTTTGGCTGCCAAAAGATATGGGGGAAAAAAAGAGTTCTTGGGATAAGGCAGCTTTACTGTCCCCTGGTATCTTCCCTGAACCCGTAGGCACGATAGGTTAAGAAGCACGGAGTGCCTTCCTCTTTAGAGAAATGTTTAAAGACACAGATGAGACAAACTTGTTAAATGAACATGCTTTTCAATTGAACCAAGTTAATTTTACCATTCCTCATCTCCTACCCCCATCTTTTTCCTATTCTGACATGTGACTTTCTCAGTTACAAAAAAAGAAAAATTTTACTTCCACGGTTTTTTTTTGTTGTTGTTGTTGTTGTTGGAGTCTATGTATTCAAGCAGATTTAAGCAAAAGTTCTAATAAAAACATTCTAACTTTTGGATTTGATATTAAGGTATGTATTGAATTGCCCGACAACAAAAAGCACCATCAGATGCCATTAGAATTAACAAAGGAGGGGGGGTGCCTGGGTGGCTCAGTTAGTTAAGCAGAGAAGTTTCTTCCTTCAGCTCAGGTCATGATTCTGGGGTCCCGGGATCCATCGCTGCATGGGCAGGCTGCCTGCTCAGCAGGGAGCCTGCTTGTCCCTCCTACACGGCTTGTGCGCTCTCTCACTATCTCTGTCTCTCTCTCTCTCTCTCAAATAAATAAATAAAATCTTTAAAAAAAAAGAATTAACAAAGGAAATGTTCTGTTCACATTTCTGATGTAGGGCTTTTTGAATCAGAATAATACTAGCTACCCTTTACTGAGCCTCCTGGGTGCCAGGCACTGGGGATGGTTATTACCCGTTGTATAGAAACCAAGCTTCAGAAGGGAAAACTTGCTGAAAGTCAGGTGCCTGGTGAGTGGTCAGAGCTGCTTCTAAAATCTCCTGTGTCCCCAGCGCCCTGCAGTACTTCCCCTAAAGCCCACAGCTCCCCTCTTGTTCCCTGAACTTGTGGGCTACCTCACGCTAAAATATTTGGCTTATGGGGTGCCTGAGTGGCTCAGTCGGTTGGGTGTCTGACTCTTGATCACAGCTCGGGGCTTAATCTCAGGGTCGTGAGTTCAGGCCCCACATTGGGCTCCATTCTGGGCGTGCAGCCTACTTAAAAAAAAGTACTCGGCTTGACATAGAAGTATTGTTGTCTTGCCAGTTTTGAAAAATTCTCTGGGAGAGATTCCACAAGCTTTGCTTTAGCCACTTCCGGTGTTTTATCAGCCCCCTCTTCGACATCAACTCTTTGAGGACCAGAAATCTTGGGAAAAATTTAGAACTAACCAAACTTCCTTTTTTAAACAAACAAAAAAATTAAGTAACATTTATTTTCTCCTATTATAAAAGTAATATGTAGTCCTTATAGAAAATTAGCAAATACAGAAAAGAAGAAAAAAATTAACTACAATTCTGCTGCTCAGAAATGACCAACACTCTTTCAGGATACTTCGTTTTGTTTGTGTGGATGTATATCTCTTTCCCCAGAATTGGGTATGCTGTCTAAGTATTTTTCCATAGAACATTACATATTCTCAGAAGAAACAGACACTTAGATATCTTAACAAACCTCTTCCTCCTTTCCACAAAATACTTCTTTCCAGCTGGGAGTTCTTTTTTTTTTTTTTTTTCCTATTTATTTGAGAGAGAGAGAGCATGAGCAGGGCGGAGGAGCAGGAGAGGGAGACTCAGCCTGGATGAACCCGGACAGACCTGGGACTCGATCCCAGGATCCTGAGATCATGACCTGAGCTGAAGGCACACACTTAACCGACTGAGCCACCCAGGTGCCCCAGCTGGGAGTTCTTTTAAAAGTTCCTTTTCTCTTACCAGCTCTGTGCAGGGAGCCCTGATGGGGACAGGGAACGTGCCAAGCCCCTAAAGAGTTGACTGTTTTCCCTCAGAGGACAAACTGAAACATTTTGTGGAACAAAATGATTTAGTGCCCTTGTACATGCTCTGAGAAATTCATGAAAGAGAAGTGAATTTGAACTAGCTTTGAATGGTATGTTAAATAGACTACATACTGCCAAGCAGAGGAATAAGCAAAGTTCTGAGGTCTAGCTGAGCCCAGAATGGGTCAGTTTCAGATTTATTTATTTAAAGATTTTATTTATTTATTTGAGAGAGAGAGAGCATGAGTGGGGGCAGAATGAGAAGGAGAAGCAGACTCCCCACTGAGCAGGGAGCCTGACGTGGGGCTCAATCCCAGGACCCTGGGACTATGACCTGAGCCAAAGGCAGATGTTTAATGGACTAAGCCACCCAGGCGCCCCTCAGATTTAGATTTAGGATGAAATTCTCTTTCCATATGTTTTCACTGCCATGTGTGCTAAGGGCAATGGTCTAATAACACCAAATGAACACTGATGAGGTAGGTGTGTCTGGTTGTGCTTTTCATCTTGAATTGTGAATGCATATGCTTGTACAAGGATTACCTATCATATGTATCCATTATAAGAATTGTTTTACTTTAAGGATTTGTTTTTTAAATGAAACCTCATTTTCCTTTTTCTTATTTTTCTCATTCATTCATATTGTACTTTTCTATTTTCTCAGATTCTGCACCAGTATTGTGGCTCAAGACTCCAGAGGCCACATTTACCATGGCCGGAATCTGGATTATCCTTTTGGAAATTTCTTACGCAAGTTGACTGTGGATGTGCAGTTCTTAAAGAATGGGCAGGTATAGTTTGTACGCTATAATATTCAGAAATCAGAGAGACTTGCTAACCAAAGTTTGCAATCACTAGGATGGCCTGCTGCTTAAGTGTGTTATCAGTTTAAGGTACAGAAAACATCAAACTCCTGGAAAAACAAAACCACAGGTTTACGTCCATTAGGCTCATGGAAAGAAGGGTCATTTATTATTATTGAGCATCTATTTAAAGAAGTCAACCAGTTTTCCTTAGGGAAATAACTATCAGTATGATCAGTCGTCCATATCAGCTCTTTCTCAGCTTTCCCCTGTTGAGGCTGCTTCTGGAATAGGGAGGGGCTGCATGGTGTCATGGCTAGAAACAGCCAACTTTGAGGTCCAACAGTCTTGGGTTTGAATTCTGTTTCTGTCACTTATTTCCTTTGAGAACATGGGAAATTATTTAGACACATTTTGCAGACTACAGCTCAGAGAGGTTAATAATTACTTTATGGAGGTAGTTATAAATGTTACATGAAGTAATCTGTGCAAAGCATGTAATAAATGCTTGATAAATAGTGGCCAAGTAATAAATGGTCCTTCATTCTATAAGTATGATTGACCCACAGCACTCTCCTAAGTATGATCTTTAAGAAATTATACTTAGATCATTTTATTTTCATCTTAAAAATACAACCTAATATGTACTGTTTTCACATTTCTGTGTAAACATCTGGAGAGACAGCTTTAATCAATGTTCATTGAATACACAAAGCATGTTATGGCCATGAAACAACCTGCTAAAGCCAGATTTTGGCTTTGGGGGACACTGTTTAAGGACAAGGACTATATTGCATATGTTCTTTGCATTTAGGGGTTGAGTCACAAATACTACAAACTCATTTAACTTGGTCATCTGCTTTTACAAACAAAAACTTTTTCTCATAAAAATGAAAACAATGCAGAAATACATAAAGTGAAAGTTTCTCATTTTTCCATTTCATTCCTTTACTTCGCCACTGTTAACAATTTGGTTTATAGCTGAAGAACTACTTCAAAATGGTTTTAAGTGGTAACAATGACAGAATATACATGCGTACTAAATTCCTAAAGGAAATCTGCTAAAATGTTAGCAGTTATCATGGGACAATAATTACTTTAATTGACGACTTTATGCTTTTCTCCATTATCTACAATAAGCAGAAATTCTTCTAAGTAGACAAAGGAATAAATGCAGTAAAAATAAATTATTTCAACGGTTCTCTCTAGAACTCGTCCTTTTTTAAAAAAAAAAAAAAGATTGTATTTATTTGAGAGAGAGAACCAATAGTGGGGAGGGGCAGAGGGGGAGAGAGAGAGAGAGAGAGAAGCAGACTCCATGCTGAGCAGGAAGCCCGATGCAGGAATCGATCCCAGGACCTGGAGATCATGACATGAGCCGAAGGCAGATGCTTAACCAGCTGAGCCACCCTGGCGCCCCTAGACTTCACCCTAACTGGTGATGCTTCTTTTGTTCCTGTGTGTCCTGGAGCTCCCATGAGAAATAGTCTGCTGGTATGGCTTGACTCTTAGTGCTCAAGTTATTATTACCAAATCTAATGGTGTACACTTGAATATTATCTTTATGCTAAGGGCTCATGGCCAAGAAATTGTTTTGCTAAATTAAGAGCAGATTATCCACAAAATAATTAATCTCTTATTCTTGAATATTGTTCATAATTTTTAAAATATTTTCACATACCATTCTTCATTAGATCCTCACCACAGCCCTTTGAGCAGCACAAATCAACCTTTTCATCCTCATTTTCCAGGTGAGAAGGGGAGGCCTTACATGGAGGACGTTTCCCCAGCTCACATCGGGGAGATGTGGCAGAGGCAGGACCAAAGCCCAATGGCTTTCTTCCCCCCAAACTCAGACCATGTTTAGAGTTTCCTGCTACAGCTAAGGGTCTGTTTATGTTAACTGACTTGGCAGAGACAATGGAAAGCACGGGCATTTAGAAATAAAGACAGTTTTTCAGAGCCACAAGATAAAAGAGTTTGCAAATTATACCCCAGAATCATTTATAATTATGTGTTATCAAATATCTTGGAAACTACAACGTGATTTTGATTTTCAAACTTTAATTTGCTCTGCCCTTCAAGAGTGACCCTAATATGAGTGTCAGTGTGTCATATGAATGAAGTGACAGTATGATTATTTTTTTTCTTCATATAGTTACATTTTGTAAAGGCTTTAGCAGCGAGGTAGAATTATGCCCATTTTACTGCCGTGAATGGAAGTGGGGAGAATTCACAGACAGCCCTCAATGAGGGGCGCCTGGGTGGCTCAGTCACTAAGCGTCTGCCTTCGGCTCAGGTCATGATCCCAGCGTCCTGGGATCTAGCCCCACATCGGGCTCCCTGCTCAGTGGGAAGCCTGCTTCTCCCTCTCCCACTTCTCCTGCTTGTGTTTCCTCTCTTGCTGTGTCTCTCTCTGTCAAATAAATAAATAAAATCTTTATTAAAAAAAAAAAAGAAAGCTCTCAATGAGCTGGGAAAAGGTCATTTATAAAACTAAGGCCACTGCATTTTTTCTTTATAATTTAGCCACCTTAAATTATTTTTACAACCAGATGAGGTAGAAATAAATAATTAAAAAGATTACAGACTTTAGATTCAGCTTTTATTTTTTAGGTCTTCTATAAATGGCTTTTATTTATTTATTTTTTTTATTAACATATAGTGTCTTATTTGTTTCAGGGGTACAGGTCTGTGATTCAACAGTCTTACACAATTCACAGTGCTCACCGTAGCACATACCCTCCCCAATGTCTATCACGCAGCCACCCCCTCCCTCCCACCCCCCACCATTCCAGCAACCCTCAGTTTGTTTCCTGAGATTAAGAGTCTCTTATTGTTTGTCTCCCTCTCTGGTTTCG